GGAACCAGCACCACCACCTCGTGTCCTCTCTGGCTCAGCTTCTCCACCACCTCCTGCATGCTCAGCCAGTGGCTTCCCACCATGGGAACCACCAGGAGCTTCCCTCCGTCGGAGAGGCCGGGCAGGAGGAGGACGATGGAAATCCAGGCACAGCAAAGCCTCAAAGCCATGCTGCTGTGGTCGGAGTAGGGGCTGTGGAAGAGATTCCTCCTGCAGCTTGTAGCCTGAAGGTGCTTTGGAAAGCAACTGATGGGGGGATTTATTGCACTGTGCTATGTGGTAATCCTGTAGTTAATGATTCACAGCTTTGTATTATGGGTGGTTTATTTTGCCTTTTTCCTCCTTACTTGGAAAGCCAAATTTAGTGACCCTTCCACTGCTGAGTCACTGGAGTTCCTAATGAAAGTGATGCAAGTAATACATTGAAATACAACTTACAGTAAAGATTAATAGGAGAAATCAGTTTTATTGCAATACCTGGGGCTTCAGTTTTCCTTTTCTTTTTCAATGGTGAATAAACAGCTGGTACCCCTAAGAAAAATTAATTATTCATAATGCAAATTTGCAGTTTTTTGGCAAATAAGCAGCCAGAAGAAAATGTCTTCTCATTTCTCCATATAACTTCAACCAAATCCCTTATCATATCAGGTATAAAATGAAGGTGGAAAAGAGCATTTCACCCTTGTACCCCAGATAACAAAGACCAACAACACCTCTCTCACTACAAATCATGAATTATTCATGGCCAATGAGGGCTCTGTTCATGACCAATGTTGGGACAGTTCATGACCTCAACCCTGTGTCCAGATCCTTCTTGGTTATAAGCAGCTGAGGGTTTAGTGCTGGTGAGAACCCCTCAAAGAAATTTCTAAGTAGGTGAATATGGGAAACATTTTCCTTCTCCAAGGCATGCTAGAGATTTTAGATTGAAATCCTTGCCAGAGATTTTTTTTTCCCATGCAGTTTCTGCATGGTTCTTCCCAAGCCGGTTGCAAAATCTTGGACTTTGCTGAGAACCTGCCTTCCAAAAGGATCAGCAGCTCCATCACCCATGCTGATCCCATATTTGGTAGTATCCAACATAGATTAGCTTAATGGGAGTTTTCAAACTGCTCAGAGGAAGGAGATGAACAGAAGACGGGCCGTAACCTCAGACGAGGCTGCCAAATGAACACGGGAAGGTTGGTACACAAAAGCCCAGATGGAAATTTCCAGGAGACAGCCA